CCGGTGGCTTGTCGTGACTCGCCGGAGGTCGGCGCAAACTCGCCGGAAAACAGACAGCGAGCTGCTGCTTGGACGGGATATTGACCTGCTGGAACCGGAGGTGCGAGGTTCGAACGGCGGCGTGAGCTGAACGGGCTGCGACCTGCCGGTGTGGACGGGACAGCGACGGCGGTGGGAAGCTGGGACGTCGCCGCCGGCGCAAAGAGCAGCTGGAACTAGGGTCGCCGGAGATGGCGTGAGGGGAAGCTGCGAACGGGAACGAACGGTGCTCTGGCCGGAGTTGGCGCCTCTGGGGGAGCTTCGCCGGCGTGGACAGCGGGAAACGCGGTGGCTGGTCGGAGCTGACTGCGACGTCGTGGAGGTCGTGAGCTGCTGCCGGAAGTAAGGCAAAGCTGGGCGCGTGAACGGAACTGGGACCGCGAGTCTGCCGGCGGTTAGGCTGGTTCTCTGGTGGTCCGGGTCGCCGGCGACGGTGGTTCACCGGGAGGAGGTGGTGGCCGGATTTATTGAGGCGAGGGGATGAGGGTTTGCTCTTGAAGATGAAATGAGGAGATAAAGAGAGACGATATGGTGTATTTATAGTAGGTATATGAATAATTAGGGTTTGTTGTAGTTGGGCTTTAATTGGGCAAATAAAATTTCTAACACTCGGGTTTTAACATCGGGCTACGTCTTGGGTTTGGTAATTTAAATATGAATGGCTTGAATTAAAATATCTCAAATACGGTGGGCCAAGTTATTGCTATAGCTTGATTAAATGGCCCGAAAATTGGGCTCGTTCGGAAATTTATTAAATTTTTGACTTTTTAAATACTCGATTAAAATTATAAATCGAGACTTAAACTAAATTAATTTAGTCGGTCGACTTTACTAAAATAATTGGGCTCATATTTAAAAAACGACATCAAAATCGAACATGGACTCGATCTACTAAAATGAAATGGACCGAAATAAAATCAAAGATAAGCTCGATTAACTGAAATAGGCCGGCTAAAATAATTGGACTCGCTCGTAATTGATTGTGCTCGAATAAATTAATTATTCAGCTTCGGTCCGCTTAAATAAACTTCCGATCATTCTAAGGCTCGGTTGAAAAATAGAATTGATACTTGAGCTAAATAAATCCGACTTTAATAATTAAAAATCGAATAAATTCTCCATGGTTTAAACTTAATAATAATTACTTAATTTAATGCAAAGAATAATAATAATAATAATAAATGCATCAAATTAGAAATCTTAATATTTATGGAAACAAAGTCGAACTCCATAAATAGTAATCAATATTCTAGGTGTTACAATTTATCCTCCTTAAAACATTTCCGTTTTAGAAAATGCTAAGCTAAAATACAAGTCAAAACTCAAAACTAGGATTCTGAGCTTTAAATTGGGTCTTCCTTCTACTAGTGATCTTGGCAATGCCACGACAATTCCGGTTTCAAGCCACCAGGGAAATTTAGACTAGTGACTCTTATTTCAAGTCTGCATAATTTACCCGACCTTATGGCTTTTATACACATTTAGCCCAAGTTGCAGGAGTAGTTTGCCATGGCGGTTTGTCAAAATTCGTTATGTGCCTCTAGAAAGTCCCAGGGCAGAACTTTAGAACTTCGGAAGAAGCCCATCTTTCCTCTTAGCAACATCGCCCTAGCTATGGCGACGCTTCTAGTCATAGGGAGAACGGAGCTGTAATTCTTTACTATGGCGGTCTACCTTGTCAGACTGATCGGTTCCACTCGATTAGATAAGATTTACCGTACAGTTTGTCAGGATAATCGGGTGCTACACGATTAGACGAGCACGTTTGCCTTGTCAGGCTAATCGGATTCGTTCGATTAGACAAGGTCTAATGTATGCTTCGTCATGCTGATCGGATTTACCCGATTAAACGAGCATGTATACCTTGTCAGACTGATCGGGTTATCCCTATTAGACAAGGTCTGTTGTACGCTTCGTCAGGCTGATCGTATATACCCGATTAAACGAACATGTTTGCCTTGTCAGGCTGATCGGATTCGTCCGATTAGACAAGGTTTGTGGTATGCTTCGCCAGGCTGATCGAATTTACCCGATTAGACGAGCATGTCTACCCTGTTAGGCTGATCGGGCTGGCCTAATTAGATAGATTTGTTGTACGCTTCGTCAGGCTGATCGAATTTACCCGATTAGACGAACATGTTTGTCTTGTCAGGTTGATCGGATTCGTCCGATTAGACAAGGTCGGTGGTATGCTTCGTCAGGATCGGGCTTACCCGATTAGACGAGCATGTCTACCTTGTCAGGCTGATCGGGCTGGCCCGATTAGACAAGGTGTGTTGTACTCACGCCAGGCTGACCAGGGTTGGTCTGGTTAGGTGGAGATCTCTACTAGGTGATATGTAACTGGTAGGACCTACTTACAGGTCACTACTCACTCTTAGGGAAAGTTATTTCTCGGTTCTATATAGACGATACTTTGCACGCGACATTTAACAATGCGGCACACCAACAACCCGGGGCCCTCAGGCGTGGCATACCAGCATGCAATACCTGCATGCGGTGTACCCGCGACTCAGAGCGAATTCTTTCTGGTGAGCACATAAGCCATTTCGTATGGAAAACTATGTTCGTCCCGGGCTAGTTTCAAGCCTCCATGATATACCCGACTTAGTAACTCTTATTTTAAGCCGCCATGGTCACCCGGAATAGTGACTATTATACACTGAAAAATCGGTACTACATAGACTCAACTGAGATTAGTTCGAGACAGCATCTAGAGTCTTAACTTGAAACTTAAGTTCAATCCTTGGTTAGAATACTGGGGTCTCTTCCTGATCGTCCGTCGGTCCACTCTTGACCGTGAAACCTTCTCTCTTAAGTAATATCTCGTTACGCTGGCGAATTGCACTTGTGTCCGTACAAGATCGTACGGGGACTACGCCAAAAGTCATTTGTTAATTGTTTCGGTAATGAATCGTTCTCCAGAATGCAATTGTCATCCCAGAACGCAGGCTCTCAAGTGTTATGCTCATTTTCAACTCTCGCATTAGCGAAGGTGGGTTCTTCTTCCGCTTCTAGGTTTTTATCGGATCTTCTGGCGAATGTTACGGTCTATCGTTGGTGTATTCCCGTACTATTGTAACGTCCTGGGTGGTGGCGTCCGCATGTGGCGCAAGCTGGTGGAACTGGCTGTAGTAGTTGGGCTTTGAGGATGTGAGAGCATAAAAGGTGAAAAAGGTTGGATGGCGATCTAACTTTACCTAGCCAAGGTGTAGGACTTGATTTTGGATACACTTATTTTTTTTGGTACAGTTTGGATACACTTAGGCCTCATTTACTTTGTGTGATGGGATAAGATAAAATAATCAAGACAATTTTACACGTCAGCAATTAGTCCTCTGTTTACTATGTGGGATAAAATTTTGAGAAACCAATTCTTGATTTACTTCACTGGATTAAATAAGGTGATAACACAAGAAATTACCACTTTACCCTTCTGTACACATTACATTTTGTTCTTTCCCCAATTTAATTTTCAGGCATCTCAGTTTTTTTCTTCAATGTGGAACCCTAATTCTGCGGAGGAGTGAGCAAATGTTGGCCCCGCGGCGCGCTGACCGGAATTCGGACGTGGACGATGTCCAATCTCAAAGGACAGGTGTGAAATTCTTCAATTTCTCAATAACACAATTACACAGCCAACATAAAGCCAATTTCAATTTCACA